AAATTTTAGATTTTTGATTAGTTAAACCACTATTGCACATAAATACCTAAACCTACCCGAACTAAAACTGACATTAAGGAAAAAAAAAAAAAAAAGTAAATGACAGCAACAAAAAAGAGAAAGATAAAAAATGCAAAGAAATATCCTCCAGGAAGCGGTAGCGGTGGAAAAGGTGCAATTGATGCAACTCCAATCCCATCTCTCATCTCTAACTCCTTTTCTGTTTTTCCATCTGTGGGACCACCTGTCAAGAAAGACATAGAGATCTTTCTTTAAAAAAAGAGATTTTTTCAAAAATTTCTAATTTCGACTATAAGTTATAACTGAGCTGAGCAGCATGGTGGGTCCATGCTGCATCAATTTTCATCCATATCATATCATGATCACAGGGTAACCATTTAGCAACAAACCTGATCTTCCGATGAATCGTGCGGCTGAGATGGTGAGGGCCCCCTTAGTCTCATGTCAGCTCTACCGTTGATCAATGTGCTTCTCGTACCCATGAAATTCACTGAAAAGCAGATCCCGATACACAAATACAATATTAATATTAAGAAATTGTGTTTAAAATTATATAATTTTTTATTATTAAATATGCTAAAAAAATAAAAATAAAATAAAAAAGTAAAAAAAAAAACCGGGCATTAAAAATACACAATTTAGTAAAAGGTAAAATTAAAAATATATGTATATTTGAGAAGAATATTCGCGTTTGATATATTTTTCCGGCGGTGTTTGGGTGGCGCGAGTCAAAACGCATTTTTGAACTTTAAAATAAAGGATTAATGAATCAAGACTTTGCGCCTCTTACGCGCAATACTTTATTTAAGAAAAGATCTCGCGGGATATGAAATCGAAAAAAGGACATCAGCGGCATTAAAAAGTATTAGCCAAACAGTCCCGCCGCGCTAAATTTGCACCGGGGACCACCATTAACGCCGCCTTAAAAACTCTAAATCTGATGTGTTGGCGGCTGAGATGCACCGATGAGGACTGTTTAGAAATGAAATAAGAGATTGAGAGGTGGCATTACCTGAGGTGGCGTGATTTTTCTTGCTCGCCAGTATTAGTTTTGAATCTAAGGTTGACTCTGAGCTATCCGGCAAGTAACGGTCGAGGCGGAGGAGGCGACTGGTGTCTCCCAGCATTGTGCGGACGAACCAGGCCTCCATCGAGTTCAAGAAGCGGACGTGCTTCTCGTCGGTCCACGGTTGATCAGTCTGGTGGCTGGGCACGTCGGATGAAGAGGTCCTCTCTTCGAGCGCAGATCGGGAGACGGTTTGAGGATCCATCAATGTTATGGTCGTCGTCTTCGTCGTCGATGCAAATTCCAGATGATTTTTTGAGAGGCGTCAGGCTTTTAATGCTGGGGTACAGCGCCGATGGTGGCTTTCTTTTCGGAGGACAGCAATTTAAGAAATAAACTCACGAGGCAGTTGTGAAGAGAGTATCGGAAAATATATACTCGCTTATTATTGGGTCACACGCGCTTCCAAATTGTATAGTAATTAATTACTCAATTTTCTTGTTGTAAAAGATTAAAGAGGAAAAATATCTTTTCTTTTAGTAAAAGGAAAAATATCTGAGAAAATGTAAACAGTAAATTTAAATGGGCAAGTTTTTAGCATTAATTATCGTGGAACTTTTTTAATATTTGTTTTTTTATTTTTAAAATTTAAAATAGAATTGAGTGCTTTTCACTCGAATTAATATAATTTGAGTTTTATTGGACATACAAGTAATGTGAGTAAAGAAATATAAAATTATTGTTTATTGTGCAACTTAAAAAAGAAATGAATTAAGGATAATGAAATCATATACTATGGTATGAGGTAATTTTTATGGGTTTTTTTTAATTAGTGTTTTAATGATACAGGTAAAAAGTATTTTTTATTATTAATTTGTATAAAATAATGTAAAAGTTAGCATTGATTTTAATGGTATTGTTACATAAATATATTTAATTAGATGATTGATAAATTAAATGTTAACATTTGTTTTGTAAATATAAATTTATAACAAAAATATATATTTATTATATTCTTAAAAGCACATAATTAAAAAGCTCAATTTTTGTTATTTTTAATTTGTGTGGGATGCACAATATTGCATACATTTACTTATTAATATTATGTGAATATTATAAAATTTTTATTTTCAAAAAAATCAAAACTGAAATAATAAAAAGAGAGAAATAAAAGTAACGATCGACTTAGGTTAGTGTATATTTAAAAAAACTCTTACCTCAGTTTTCAACCACGCATTTTAACATTTAAGGAGTTGTTTTGTAATTTCAAGTTTTATATTAATTATTAAAAATTTAAAATTAATGATTAAAAATTGATTTAACATTTACACTGATTAAGTAAATCCTAACTCAACTTGACATTTGCCCTCGATTTTTTGAATAAATATGTTTTTTTTAATATTCTCATGATGTTCTCTTCACACTTACTTAGGCACCTTTTACATTAGTTTGTTGTATTCTAATTTTTTTAATATTGAATTGAGATTCTAACTTTATTACTTCAAATTTTACTTATAAATAATACTTATTTATCAACTATAGTAATTAAAATGAGTGAGAAGAGCATAGATAGCGTAATTTATTCACTTGAATTTCATTCCTTGGGTTAAAGAGGGACATCTCAATTTTTACTTCTAATAAAAAAGATTATACCATATAAACACTTTAGCTTTAAGTATTACTGATCATCAACTAACCTCCAATAACTAAAACCAATCCAAACTGAGAAACTAGACTTAACGATCTTGTTATAAGCATTAAACTCAGAATTATCTCCTGAGAAATGAGAGTGCTAAAATTGAAGCGTGATGCATATGTTAGATATATATAT